TAATTATATAAAATATTTAATTAAATTGGCTTTACATTATCATCTTTATATATGATACTTATCTTTGCTGTTATTTTTTATATCAATAAGTGGTTCTTATAAATTTCATAATATATAATTCTATATCATTATTTACTCAATGTTAAATAACTATAAATAATTGTGAGGGACCAACATGATGTTGGTTCCAACGTGAGGTCAATTAGTATTTAAAGTCCGCCAGTGATTAATAATCATAAAAAACACTAATTGATCTCAAGTTGGACCAACCTCATGTTGGTCTCTCACAATTATTGTTAGCAAAAATTAAAACATATTCAGATGTATGTAGAAAAAAATATGTACTGTAGAATACTAAATATACAGTATTTTGTATTTAATAACTGTAATTATAGAGAGAAAGAAATTTTCAACTATTATTTATTTTTTCATTTATATTTATTGGTTTTGTTTAATATTTGATTTATTATCAGAAAAGCTGAAAGCATTTTTGTGAGATTAGGCTTAAAATCTATGCTGTATTTTTGCATTATTTCGGGATGCACATATGCGACATTTCGATACCTGAAACAAATAGTATTAGTCATACAGTATACACTAATTAGGCTCAAAAGCAAATATATTAAATATAGGAGTGCATTATTTTGAAACGTACATGGGCGCTACTTTGAAACAAATATGCAATTGTCAAAGCAGAAATTTTAAATTAGCGCTATATGCAGATATGGTAGTTTTTAAATTTTACAGATCATTAATAAATGGTTCGGAAACAGTATTTTTATTTTAAAATAAACAGAAGAAGACTATGAATAATTTTCACAAAGCTCACAAAATAAATTAAATTTATTAAGTTGTATAATATCTGTTCTTGATGCAATTCATTCTTACAACTTGATTTCGTAATGGAAACATTTTATAAAACAAATTATATACTAATTTGAAAAAAAATGTTTATTTATGATTCTGATATTAGTTACTATGTTGGAAAATTCTCTGAAAAAAGCAATCTGATGCAATCTTACCAGAAAAAATGAGAAATCTTAGATTACGACCAAAATTTATGCTTTGCATTCCTGATGGTTATATTGAATTAACTAAGTGTTATATGGATTCAAACTTAATAAGTGACCCAAAATTTAATCTGTTAATGTTTTGATTACTATGTAGATAAAAATAAAAACTCTGATGATAAAGTAATTTTTAGAAGCTGACAAAATTAACCTAACATGTTATCCAAATTGTATATTTCGATAAATTCGATTTAGAATCATATGAAATTTCTGATAGCTTATAAATGAAAATTAAATTTTATTATTAATAAATAATAAATACAGTATAATTATCATTTAATGACTCATTTTTTTAGATATTAAAAAAACTATTAAATATTCATTTGTGTGTAAAGCTAAATATTCAAGAGGGTATTGAGTGGTTTATTAAATGCAGAAGATGCTTATACAACAAATATTTATTTCTAATCTTCAAGGTATTTTTGCATGTTCATTTATATAAAAATTTTATATCTTTACATAATTTAGTAAATTAAATAAAAAAAAGGAATAACACTGTATCTCAAAATTGGGTATCAAACTAAATAGAACAAAATGAGGTTTCAGAATTAATGATTCGACGTCCAATTTTTAATAAATGATGTCTTCAAAGAAGCAATACAAATTCTATTTTATTAAACTATGTACTTATTTACATAATCACTTACCTGTGAATGTTTATCAAAAAATAATAATTTTTATCACTGGCTACGCCTATTTAATTTTCTGATTCAGAATTCTAAAAAAGAAAATAGGATCTTCTCATTTATTTTTGAAACCTCAAATATTAAGCCTAGAGTTAGCATTTGTTCCTTGTGCTACTGATAAAATGTTTGTTTTATATTCTCATTGACTAAGTGAACAGGCAGTCGAAGGATATTAGTTCTGAGAAGGTTTTTATTTTTATCAATTGATAACTTTTTGATTATGAAAATTTTTCAAAAAAAATAATACATTTAATACTGATAAAAATAAACAATTTTGAAGAAATTATTCTTTTATGAAAGCTTTAATATCACTATTAGAATTTTGTTCAAAAACTATCCTTGAAAATTAAACTCAATTGTATGTGAAAAAAAACAATCTACAATCATTTAAAGAATCGAATAAATAAAGCAGATATTTTTTGTGATGTTAAAGTTATCAATATATGTAAATTTTATTTTTGCTATAAAAAAGCATTACATAGACGTACAGTACTTCTGTACTTATAGTATCTATTTTTCAATAAAAATCTTGATTTTTGTTAATGTAAAAATTGGTTTTTTGAGTGCAGAGCGACGATCCTGTAAACCACTTTTGTTATCGACTCATTTGTAAAAATGACTATACTATTTAATATATACACTAATATATTATTAGTATAGTATGCCAATTTATGTACTCAAATGCAATTTTTGCAAATCATACATCACAACTTTTCGTAATGCAGTACCACTTATTTCTGGACCATCATCGAACCATTAAATAGGTGAGGCAGATGTTTTTTTGATAAGCATTCACCATAAACGATTATGTAAATAAGTATATCAGATGTGAGACATGTCCCCTTGGTTGTTGTCATATATAAATCAAATGAGTTGACTCACCAAATTTATATGTAAAATTTGACAAAAAAAACACTTTTCTTTAATTTATTCAAGAAAGTAAATATAAAAAATAATTTTAAATATAGGACTTATATTCTTTAGCATTTAATGATTCTTTAACAAAAATTATAGAACTAAATACCAAGTAAAGTTGTTCAATTCTTCTCTATGTTCTTTAAGTCAAATAATTGACTTACTTAATACAATAATATAATTGGTTAAAGCAATTCTTTAAAAATTAAAGAAGGTTCTACTAAGTAAAGGTCTCTTCGGGTCTTAAGAAAACTTGTAGAGAAGGATTTTAGGATCTCAACGGTAGTTAAATCATCCAAATCGGCTTGGTGAATCCCAAGATACTTGGGGTTAAAGGCACAAACATAGGGATTTGCAAAGTTACTGTTACACAAAGGACAATCATCTATTAGACAATTGTCTTTTGTGTAACAGTAACTTTGCAGATCTCTATGTTCGCGCCTTTAACCCCAAGTATCTTGGGATCCACCAAGCCGATTTGGATGATTTAACTACTGTTGGGATTTTAAAAACCTCCTCTACAAGTTTTCTTAAGACCTGAAGAGACCTTTACTTAGTAGAACCTTCTTTAATTTTCAAAGAATTGCTTTAGCAAATCATATTATTGTTTTAAGTAAGTCAGTCATTTGACTTAAAGAATATAGAGAAGAATTGAACAACTTTAGCTTAAGATCCTTTTAAAACTACTTGGCAGTTAGTTTTATAATTTTTGTCAAAGAATCATTAAATACTAAAGAATATAAGTTTCATATTTAAAATTATCTTCTATATTTACTTTATTGAGTAAATTAAAGAAAACTGTTTTTTTTGCCAAATTTTACATATAAATTTGGGTGAGTCAACTCATTTGATTTATATATAAAAGCAACTAAGGGGACATGTCTTATACCTGATATGTAAACAAAAAGTTTAAAATTAATTACTTACATGTTAATAGCAATTATAATTATATTAAAAAATAAAAGTTAAAATATGTAAACAAAAAATTTAAATTAATAAACTTTTATTTAATAAAATATTATAAATAGTAATGATAATAAATATTGTCAAAAAATCGTTAATTTTTTTTTACAAGCTTTGAACTCTATATTTCTTTATCATTATATTTTTTAAAAAATGAAAACTATTGTAGAAAAAGTGAAGCGTGTCATCCATCAAGATCCTCAAAATTTCAAGAAACTGTTGCTAAATCTTCTTCGAAGATTCAAGCAAAAGTTTCAAAATCTTTATCTAAAACAAAACCAGTATTAAAAGTATCTAAATCTTTACAAAAAAATTCATCTAAATTATCACAAAAAAAATCTTTTAGAAAATCATCATATTATAAAGATGAAGGTGAAGATGTGGATGAGGATGTGAATGCAGATGAGTATGAGGATGTTGATGAATTAAACCCAAATCAAAGTAATTTATTAATATTTTAATCTTTATATAGCATTGTTAAGTTTTTTAAAAAAATAAAATATTTATAAAAGAAATATCCAAAATGACGATAATAATAACTATAATGATGCTTCACCATCATCTAAATCTTCAAGAAGTCAAAATCAAAGTACTTTATTAAAATTTTTAATTTTCATATAGTATTATTATTAATAAAATAAAAATATTTTGTCAAGAAAATGTTACATTTGAAGATAATGTGGATAGTTCTTCAATATCTCATACAGTAGCAAATATTTTAGAAATGCTATCAGAGGACAATAATGAAGATAATGATAATAATGATGATGGACAACATAATGATATATATATTTTAGATGATGATATTTATTGTTAGTATTAAAATTATACGTATTAAATATTATTATTATTATACTGTACTAAACTAAACCAATTATTAACAACTATTTCAGGCAACAATAATGAAGAATTTCAATTGGGTATTTGTTTATTGAGCTTCGATTTGTCACTAAATTTAATATTAAAATTATTTGAAAATAGTTAATAGGATCTGAAATTTATATAATTATTTAGAAATTATCGTTATATTATTATTAATTTTTAATTTGTTATTATTATACTATATATTAAAATAAGCCAACTTATCACCAGCAATTTCAAGTAACGAGTATAATAGAGAGGTCCAATCAGGTATATCAGGTATTTGTCTATTAAGCTTGGATTTGTTATCTAATTTTTAATATATGATTTAATCTTATTAAATTTTAATTTGTTAATATTTATAAAAGAAAAATCTAAAAGAAAACTACGAGAACATGAAGCTAGTCAAATTTCAGCAAAATTTAATAGGATAAATAATATTTTAGAAATATGCAATTGGCTGGTAAAACATCTATCTATATTGCAGTTAGCCAACCAAATATATATGGCATCCTCATCATCAATAGAAAATGTTGAAACTTTTAATGAATTGTTAATGCCTTCATCTGCAATTTCGTCAAACATAAATAATAATAGAGTAAGATTTATGATAAATTCTATTTTCTTTTTTAAAAAAAAGAATATAAATAATAAAAATAAATAAATAAAAATAATTTTTTTAGGATAGTGCACGTATATGGGATGAAGAAATAAAATGTTTCTTTCTTAGAGCAAAATTTCCCTCAGCAACATGTATCAATGAATTTGTTAAGAAAATATTTGGGTATTCACCCTATTCTAAGAAGGAACAGAGATCGAACTAAAACAAAAAATACGTTAAGTGATTTTTGGCACAGACTTAATCAATCAGTATTGGGTCATGTTAAAAATTATAAAGAAATACAAGAAAGGTATATATATATTAAATATATACATATATATTATAATTGATATCATGTCTGATATTTGTATTATTTAATTTTAGACAAGGTGCAGCATCGTTAACAAAAGAAAATATTAACAATTATTGACACAGGGTTAATGAATATGCATTGCAATCAACGTCGTTACCCAGAGGTTTGTATTATTAGTTTACACTTGCTTTGTATATCACTTCAATTTCCTTTACTTCCACCTGCCTTCACCTTAATAGTCTCTTCTACCACGTTCCTCAAGTACACTGGCACAGCGACACTATTACTTTACTTCAGGTTTAGTTTATTAAAATCAAAGGTGTGTTCGATCATTAAGATCGAACCATATATTTATTTACTTTCTTTGTTATGCATGATTACATAATCGACATTACATTGTTAACTTTTACATTATTGACTTTACATTGTTCAATAATATGTCATTGATTACCATATATGACCGCATATTATTATACTAACTATACATTACAATCTGGCCTGGCTACTAATGCCCCGACACTGATAACACGTGCGACTAATCAATTCCCGACATGAGCTAGACCCCCATAACTTTGTCCATGAGGTAACATTGTCCATGTTCATCCACTTTTATAACTTTGTAGGGTCCAACCCATCGATAATTCAACTTTCTCAGGCTATTATCCAACATAGAGTCATACACAAGAACAAAGTCACCTATTTCAATTAGTTCTCTTTCTCGGGCCCATCGATTATGAAACTCTTTCCAACGCATTTGATTTCATCATGGTCAATTTTCGCTTTTTCAAGGTCAGTTACCAATTCTTTTATTTGCAGTGTATGATATTCAAGTAATTCATCTGTAGTCCATTTTTCTTTTGATACGTACGTATGATAATTCTCAAAAACAATTTCAATCAGTGCTATTGTGTCCCATCCATATACCAAATGAAAAGGCGAATATCTCAAGTCCCCGACCATAGTGTTGATTGCCCAAATTGCGCTACGTACGTACTTATGCCACCGATTCTGTTTTTCAGCGCATATTTTACGTATGATTTTAGTAAAATTTTGAACTACATGTTCAGCTTGGCCATTTGCTTCGGGATGGTAACTGGCAGTAAAATGCTGGTCCATATTCATACGTGACGAAAGTTCTTCCAATATTTTGTTTTTAAATTCAGTTCTCCTATCTGATACTAAAATTGTAAAACAACCGTGCCGCAACACTATATCCTCCCAAATAAATTGTGCAATGTTTTTTGCATTTTTGCTAATTAATGCTCTTCCCTCAACATATCCTGATAAATCTTCAATTGCCAATACTACGTGTTCATGTTTTGCCGTGGTACGCGGTAAAGGCCTAGCACAGTCAATAAATACTTTATTAAATATCCAATTCGTACCAATTACATGAATAGGTTGTGGTGGTAGTTTAGTGGCGCATCATTAACATGCTTCACAACTTTGCACAATCTGCTTTACATCATTATACACGCTTCCAGAACCCTACACATATTTCATCAATACAGCCCTTACGGTTCTAGTTATTCCTCTATGACCACCTTCATGAGCTAAATCTTCATGACTAGCCTTTACTATATCGTATTTTTCATTATTATCCATTATAACACGCTTCGGAGATGCCTCTTTTCTCGATCGTAGATATAAATTTTCTCCAATTAAACAATATCGTTTAAATTTTCTTTTAAGATGTGGCAAATTATGTGTATCCACATGTGGTCCCCAAGTCATGTTTTGCAAGAATTCTTTTATCAGCATTAAATCGTTCATTTTTCTGTCTTCAAGACCGATCTTATATATTAATCCTTCGACGAAATCGTCATCAGTTTTATCATCTTGACTTGAGGGATTTGGGTAACGCGATAACCCATCTGCATTACCGTGTTTCTTGCCTGATTTATAGTAAACGCGGAATTCGAATAATTGAAGCAGCAATACCAATTTCATCAACCTTCCCTTGAGTTCAGCCTTATTGAACAACTACTCTAACACTTGATGATCCACTAATATATCAAAAACAGTACCACCTACATATCTCTCATTTACACGACACCCAAATACGATCGCTAGACACTCCTTTTCTGTTATAGTATAATGTTTTTCGTGTTCATTGAGTTTTCTTGAATCGAATGATACTGGCCTCAATCTACCTTCATCATCTTCTTGTTCGAGTACTACACCTACAGAATGATCACAAGCATCCGTGTACATCTGATAGGGCTTTCGATTGTTTTTTGCAGCTTGCCAGTTGGGTCCTTTTAGAGTTATCTCTTCAGATAGTTTTTGCTTCAATGTTTCAAATGCCGACCTTTCTTCCTTTTCCCATTTACTTTTTTGGTTAAGTCCATTAATGGTTTAGCCACTTTGCTAAAATTATTAATGAATCGTCTATAATAATTTAACATTCCATGAAATGATCGAACTTCATCTACATTGTTAGATTCCTTCCATTTTTCAATCTTTTCGACTCTTTTCAGATCCACCATTATTCCTTTCTTGCTTACGATGTAACCGTACATGTTTAATTCATTGTACAAAATAAAACACTTTTTTGCCGCAAAAGTCAACCCGGCATTTTTAAAAACTTCTGCCAATTCAATAAAAGTGTCCAAATGTTCTTCCATGCTCCCATCGGTCCATATACCAACGTCGTCCTGATAAGCTGCTGTGACGTTCTTCCATTTTTCACCATCCAATAATTGATCCATTAATCTTTGAAAGGTTTCACTCGCGTTTTTTAGACCCATACACATTACTGTGTATCTCAACACACCTAATAACGTAGCCACTGCTACTTTATCTCAGTCCTTTTCACGGATACCAATTTGCCAGTATCCTTTAAATGCGTCGATAGACAAATACCATTCATGCCCTGCAGCTTGTTCAATTATATCTCGAATGATTGGTAGCAGGTAACTATCTTTTATGATATACTTATTGAGAGGTTTCATATTACCAACGGCTCGGAGCTTATCAGTTTCTTCCTTTTTCTTTTGTACTAGAAAGCAATGGTAAGCAAATTCACCAGATCCCTTTTCCAGTAACCCATATTGAATCATGTATTTCAGATGTTTTTCGAACATCAATCTTGTTTCCGGATTATTTATTCTTATAGATCGTAATCTCATAGATGGTATCACAGCATCTCCAGTTCTGACCTCATATTCGACTAAATTAGTTTTCCCAATGTCTTTTAATTCAAAAGTGAAAACTTCAGGTATTTTTGACATTAATCATTCAATCACTATACTTTTTATCAGCTCATCCTGGACTTTTGGTCCCAAATTTATTAAGTCACTATTTTCTTTTGTCAGTCGTAACACTAACATTATATTATCTTCATCGATCAACCCTTCATTGTTTTCATTTTTACTGTCCCAATATTTTAATTTTCCATGATAGGTTAATCCTTCTAGATTTTTGCAATTGATCGGTTCTACTTTTCTTATCATTATATTGTTCTTATTTTTTGCACCAGTCATAATGTTTTGCACATCTCTGTAAATCTCGAGTTCATCTACTTCTATTCTCCTTACTGCCATAACATCATTGACTTCTTCATAGTCACTTTCGCCATCACTATCTTCATACCTTTTGTAATCTTGTGTATCAGCAATCCAATCTTTTGGTACCGTAGATACCACAAATGACACAGATCTTGTCGGAGAGGAAATGGTACACCAGTACTCATTATCTTTCCATCCAAGGTTACATTGACTTTGGGCTATCCAGAGCATGCCGAGTAATACATCAAAGCTCGCCGTTTCCATCACATAGAACCCTTGGTTCACAGCCACACCTTCCATTTCTACTTCAACATTTGGTATATACCCAACGAATTGGCTTATTCTATTATTAGCCATTCTTCCCTTACCACCTACGTAGTTCCAGGTCAGCCCTCTTTTTTCAGCGTACTTCTTCAACATTAAGTTGATTTGTGACCCTGGATCTACTGGGACTTTTAATATATCACCATTAACCTTGGTCGTCCAAACAGGTACTACTTCACCCAATTTCATCTTAGTTGTTTGTAGAACGCCACGTACAATTCTGATCTTTGTATTTATGTCATTGACTTCATTTATTTTTCTTCGTCGTGACAATGCTTTCATTACTTTCACCCAGGCTTTTGGAGACCACTTGAACAATTGTCCAAGATTAACGGTTATCTCCATACCAGCAATTTTCTTTAGGATATCGAGTTCATCAGACATTTCAGTGAACGGTATATACATAATACTATCAGTTCGTTTAGGTATCTCATTTTCAGTTGTTAATTCACTGATTTTTCCCTTTTTATTCGATTTATCTGACATTTCAGCTGTTTCATTACACCTTTTCCTTTTACTTAAAAGCCTTATATCATATTGTTCATTGTCATTAAGTAATTCCACTTTTAAATATTCGTTAGCCAATTCAGGATAAACTTAACCATAAATACATCTACGTTGTTAAACTTCATGTTTTTGCCGGTTTGATCATTGTTTTTATTTCGATCAGGGCAATCTCTCATGATGTGTTCTTCTTTATTACATATATAGCATGTTCGAGGCTTAGAGTTATGTGGTGGTCACGTTCTTCTATTCATGTCTTTGATTGTTTTAGTGACTATGTTTTGTATAAAATTTTCTACATTGCTTCGGCTTGATTGATCTTCTCGCTCAATGCGATTGATCTTCAACGCCGCAAGTTTATTCACAAGACTGTCGATATCAACGTCTGTTTTGCTACAAGTTACTGGTTCTTTGAACTTGTCTCCTTCATAAGTTTGGTTCTTTTCTCTTTTATACTCGTCTATCCCAAGTGCTTTCTTTTTTGCCTTTTTATAATTTTTAGGACAGTGACTTTCTACCTTAGAACGAAAAGGTTCCCTAAGGCCTTGGATATACCAGTTACGTTTTTCATCAGATCTCAGTTTTGTATTCACAGGTTTAGTTTGGGCTTCATATCTATTAGTGTATTCCCTTACTGATTCTTTTTCTTCTTACCTCAACCGTTTTAACCAGAGGATCATTATTTCTAGTTCATTTTCAGCTGTGATCTTTTCAGCGATTTTTGTTTTTAATGAAGCCCACATTTTCTCCGTTTGTACCAATTTTCTTACCCACATTCTCATACTTTCTAGCATATGCATGTATACTCTGAAATAGGTCGTTTCTTCATCATATTTATTCGCCTTCGCATAGCCTTCGTAGTCAAAAAGGAAGTTTTCTATGTCGTTCACTTCTGCACCTTTATACACAGGTATTGTTGTATCAAAGCTTCCTATGATTTGTTTTTGTTTATAATGTTCTTATATTATGACTTTGAAATCACACTCTATAGGTTTGATTATGTTTATGTTTCCACTTTTTATTTATATTATTCATTTGTGCAGCTGGTTATCTTTTTGACTTGATCTTCAACGTTTGGTTTAACACTTGCTTTGACTATGTTTGATCTTTAACCTTTTGTCTTACAGCTCCATTCTTTATCTTTGTCACTAGTATAAAACATCCCGGTTTATCTTGTTATAAGTTTGTAGCTTAGTTGTAATGTTCGTAATTTCAAACTACCCAATTCACAGCTTTTTCAGCTTCCAAAACTGAGTTTAACAGTTCTTTTAGCTTTTACTATCTGTTGTTGCGAAAGATGACGGTTTTGCCCAGGTTCTTTTGACACAGGGTTAATGAATATGCGTTGTAATCAATGTCGTTATCCAGAGGTTTGTATTATTAGTTTATACTCGCTTCGTATATCACTTCGATTTTCTTTACTTCCACCTGCCTTCACCTTAATAGTCTCTTCTACCACGTTCCTCAAGTACACTGGCACAGCAACACTATTACTTTACTTCAGGTTTAGTTTATTAAAATCAAAGGTGTGTTTGATCGTTAAGATCAAACCATATATTTATTTACTTTCTTTGTTATGCATGATTACATAATCGACATTATATTGTTAACTTTTACATTATTGACTTTACATTGTTCGATAATATGTCATTGATTACCACATATGACCGCATATCATTATACTAACTATACATTACGATCTGGCCCGGCTACTAATGCTCCAACACTGATAACACGTGCGACCAATCAATTCCCGACAATTATATTAATGAAAAGGTAACAATAGATGTTCTTAATAGGTTTATTGAAAGAACCAATCAAAGAGAGCTTCAAAAGTGTAGTGCAGTAAAAAAATTAGTGCAATTAATTCATGAAATGTTTAATATTCATTGGCAAGGCAAGAATATTGACCAAGTAAAAAACTTGGACAATTTAACCAAAAACATGCATGTACCATCAAGAATCAGTCTTGATATTGTGAGCAAACTTAACTTTAATTACCGTAATTTGCGGCAAATAGTACCCTGGGTCTCTTACATTCCTAGAAGCGAAATCTTGATTAGTACCTGGTGGGTATTTTGTCAGGTGGAGGGTATTTTATGTGGGGGAGTTTATATAAGGAGAATACTTCAATTGACCAATCATTTAATAGAATTATAATGAAATTGAAAAAAAGACATATAAGAAGTCATGCACTATATAAATTGCATCCTAGATATACCCGGGTCTTTTACAATCATATTTTCGACAAATACTTGATTAATCTCAGGTACAAATCGTGGGGGTACACTAACAAGGGGGTACTATTTGCTGCAAATTACAGTAATACTAAATAATATATTTTATTTTATTGCAAATTTAAAGAATAGTCGCTATATATATTTAAATTTGTAGTAATTTTTATTTTATATTAGTATAGAAAATTTGGTTATATACAAAGTTTATTATTTTAATGAACATATCAAGACGATTTGGTTAAGATTTTATCAAAATTCCTTTATAAAAATTTATTTATTATAAAATAAATCCTTAACAATTTGGTTAAGATTTTATCAAAATTTTTTTATAAAAATTCATTTATTATAAAATAAAACCTTAATGATTTAGTCAAGATTTTATCTCAATTTTTTAATAATAAAGATTCATTTATTATAGAATACAAATTATGATGTTTTGCACCTATCGTATTATTATGTTTTAAATTTTGTAAGGCTTTATAATAAAAATTTTTTCATGAGTAAGTGTTTATAAGAGTTTTTGGGACAGAACATTTTTACTTAAATATCTATTACCAATTAATTAGCAAATAATATAAAACATTTTAATAAAAGTCTCAAGATTTGGTTAATCTTCAATTAATAATTAATATGTTATATAATACATTCAAAATTTTTAATAAAAAGTATCAAAAAAACAAAAAAAAATTATTTAATTGATTTTACATATTTTTTTGCAAACTACAAAAAAAGAAAAAAAAAACAGAAAATAAGAATAAAAAAAAACAAAAACAAACTAAAAGAAAAAAACAAAGCAAAAAGAAAAAAAAAAAAAAAAGCAAAAAAAAAAACCATCAAAGGAAAAAAAAAATTATTTAAAATCAGCACCCTTGGGACCAAGAAAAGTGTTTCGACTTAAGTTGATAGATGTTGCAATGTTCCAACCACTAACGGTTAAACATTTAAATTAACTGTATATAAATCATTATTTAAATTATAAAATAATGATTGAGCATCTTTTGGTTCATAAAAATTTATTGCCCAGATACCAACATGTACTACATTAAGAAGTGATAGTTCGAAATCATTTGAGCTATTAGACTCGCCATGAATTGCTTCAATGTCAATATTGACAAGAAATTGTTGCCACACTTTTTGCACATCATCTGCAGTTAATTTTGCAAAAAGGGCATTTATTTCATAACTAAACAATAAATATTAATATTAGTATTAAAAAAAATAATAAAACAATATTAATAATTAATAATTAATAATTATATTACCTTTTTGTTCTAAAATACAGAATATCATACAACTTATTTATTTTAAGCCAAAGAATGTACCGCCACTCAGTAAAGATAGACTGAAATTTTGATGCCGCATCATCAAAATTTTGGCCCCCTATTTCAGGAACCAAAATTTTAATAAATTTCTTGATTATTGCATTCGATTTTGCATCGTCGAGATTTCTGCAATGAATAAACAACACATGCAATTCATTTTGAAAAAAGTTCGGCAACCTATTTTGGAAACTCCTAAATTAAATAATAATAAAAAAGTTATCATGTTTAGTAATAATTCATTATTGTTATTAAATAACATTAACTATAAATAGTAATAATGCTAATATAATGCACAAAAAACAAAATTATATAACAACTATTTAACCTCATTACCATTTATTAGAGTAACTAGACTCCTGTGATTTCAGGAATTTTCCATTGTTTAAACAATAAAAAATTTCTGAAATCACAGGAGTCTGGTTACTCTAACCAAAATATTATTAAATAAATAACTATTACCTTATGGGCTGCATAGTCATCACATAATTTTGTTGAAGTTACAGTTTTTCCATTTTTTGTGAACGATGCAGGTACGTCATGAGAATGACGAGGAACAAATAGGAACCTCTCATTTTCGTAAAATGCCAGAGAAAGGGTCAAGCCATCCTTGTGCAACTTATATTCATAGTCATCACGAGGCTCAACCGAAGGTGCTGGTGGTGAAGACTAATCGTCAAATGCTGAAAACTTGAAGTTTTCGGCTAAAAACTTCAAGTTTTCGGCACTTGACAATTGTGATAAAATAGGAGTTGCTGATCTAGATCTTCTCGACATATTCAGGAAGATAACTGTCATCATAGCATTGACACTATCATTTACTAAATCATTATTAAGTAGACCAAAATGATTTTGTAGGACAGCAAGTGTTGCAGAGCGATCACCATTAAGATGATGTTTGAGGTAGTTTAATGTCGTATTAAGATCTTAATTTATAAAAAAGAAAAATTATAAATAAAATAAATTTAATAAAAATTTTAAATCAAACTTTTAGTAACTTCATAGCAACGATATCTAGGGATGGGGAAGTTTGGTTTGGTTTGGTTTGGTTTGATTAAACCTTGATATATATGGTTTAAACCAAACTAACCAACTTAAACTAATTTATATAAACTAATCAAAAAACTAGTTTAAAACTGGTTTAATTTAATTAAACCAAACCAAACCAAACCAAAAACCAACCAAACCAAATTAATTAAACCAAACCAAATTAGCTAAACCAAATTAACTAAACTAACCAAATCAGTTTATATAAAATTAAAAATTTCATTGTAGCAAATTTATAAAATTAAAGCATTTTGACTTACAATGAAAAATCATCTAGATTATGTTTAACCCATCTTTCTGTGAAAATATGGGTTAGATATTATTTATATAATTTTACAATAAGAAATATCAAAAAATCAATTAAGTCAAAATGCTCTAATTTCATAAATTTGCCGTGATATAATATA